TCTTTTGGGGGCAATTAAAATGTACTGAATTTTATTTTGGTGGTGATAGTACAACTTCGTAAATATACTAAACTCTGCTGAATTGTCTACTTTAAAAAAAATTGAAGGGAGTAAAGCAGAAAGCTACTATCAATATCCTATTTTAAATTTTATTCTCCATTCTTAAAGAAAAGAAGCTCTGGTGGTGTAGTGTTTAAGGCATTTGTCTGTTAACCAAGAGGTTGGTGGTTGGAGCTCACCAGCTGTTCCTCAGAAGAAAGATGAAGCGATCTGCTTCCAGAAAGATTTACAGCCTTGGGAGCCAAGTGGGGGTCCCTTTGAGTTGGAATCAATTCAGTGGCAGTGAGGTTGGTTATTTAGTTTATCCTTAAAGAAAAATACAATCTGAAACAGTTTGATTAAAAAATGGAACCTCTGTATGTAGGTTGGGGCGTTCTGGCCTTTACATATTTGAAGATTTTTCACACAAATTACTTTGTTGGGTTTATGAATTTGGGGCCTGGCCACAAGATTTTTTTGTGTGTGTATCTGTTTTTTTCCTAATGTCCTCTCACAAATTCTCTAATGTCACAAGTAAAGTCAAATTATTCCTTCGCCCCTTGTCTACAAAAAAAAAAAAAAAGTCTTGTATTTTCAACAGCCTTAAGGAAAAGGATTTTGAGATCTGAATGCTCAAAGTCGGTGAGGGACACAGTGGAAACTCAAAGATAATTGCCCTTCTTCCACTTTATACTAATTGTCCTAGGTTTGCCAGGTAATTTTTCATAAGAATTAAATTTAGATGGTAAATTCTGTTCTGTCTTGAGAAATACGTCCATGACAATCAAAAGAAACTCCTAATTTCTTGCAAGCATTACTTCAGAAGTATTTTAAGGGTTACTCAATTATTTAGAATTCCAGCAAGAAGAGAAAGTTAAGGATTAATGATAGAAAAGCATTCTTGGCATTTTATAGACATAGGTAGACCTGCAGAGAAAGGGCTATTGATCAGTGAAAAAGGTATTTGAATCTATGATATGACCTCTGCTCAAAATTCCAGTCATCTTACTTTTCCACACAGCCTCCTTGTTGTCTCTTTTTTGTCCCATTTTCTGTACCAAGCAACAATTATCATGGCTCATTATCAAAACTAGAGCTTTATCTGTGCTGGGAACATTTTCCCTGTGTCATCAGAAACCGAGATGCAGAGACTTTCTCCTTAGGCACACTTAACTTGCTCTGCCAAGATTACTAAAAGGAGTATTTGGCAAGGCAAATGTATTGTGAAATTTGTTTTAATGCTTTGACTCATGAGGGATTCTTGGGAGCTCAGAGTTGAAGTTTTTTTATTGGTATTTACTCTAGTGTTTAGAGAGAGGCAGTGTTTCCTAGAGGTCAGGCATACAGGTTGTGATATTAGAGAAAGCTCCTTGGAAACCTGTCTCTTACACATTCTAGCTAAAATTCTCTGTCTGATTTCCTTTGAGGAAAATAATAGTACTTACCTTATAGGATTTTTGTGGGAAGTAAATCAAATATTTGTTTATAGCACTTAGTACAACACATGGCTCAGTTACCTATTATTATGAAAGTATATATATGGTGGATACCCTGGGTGGCACAAACAGTAATGCACTCAGCTGCTAACCAAAAGGTTGCAAGTTTGAGTCCACCCAGAGGTCCTTTGGAAGAAATATTTAGGGAAGTAGACCACCACATCTTTCTCCCGAGTGGAGTGACTGGTGGGTTTGAATCTCTGGTTAGCAGTAACCAAACTACTGTGCCACCAGGGTTCCTTAGGACTTAGGAAGGGAAAGTGATAATAAAGAGAGCAAGCAGTTAAGAGAAAAAGGGCACTAGGTGATGATTTGTAATGTAGCAGGTCTGAATAGAATGGAAGACATAAGAGACAAACACAAAAGGCAGACAGCCTAGAAAGGTTCATAGTGGTAAGTAATCTTCAATGAATTGGGAAGAGTAGAATGGGGCAGAGAGCAGTCACAGGCTGTTTTTGTTTTGTTTGCATTTTGTGTATGGGAGAAGGAGTTTTGTTTGATTGGGTTTTTTTGTTTGTCTGTTTTTCATCTTGAAAGTGATTGGCAGCAGTGCAGAAGTGATTTAGGATTACAAAATCAGATAACTGAAATCTAGATAATTTGGAATAGGGTCTTTGGAAGTCTGATGTCCTGGTATTCTGTTTGTACCCAGTGCTCAGAGGGAGTACTTGTTGTCCTCAAGTTGATTCCAACTCATTGTGATCCTACAGGACTGAGTAGAACTCCCCCATAGGGTTCCCAAGGCTGTAATCTTTACAGATGCAGACTGCCACATCTTTCTCCCAAAGAACAACTGGCGAGTTCAAACCACCAACCTTTTGGTTAGCAGCATGAGCCACCAGGGCTCCTTTTAGACAGAGGTGTTGTTGTTGATGTTATGTGCCAGAGTGGGACCCAACTCATAGCGACCCCTCCTTGGGTTTCCGAGACATTATCACTACAGAAGTAGATTGCCCCATCTTCCTTCCAAGGAGTGGCTGGTGGGTTTGAACCACCAGCCGTCTGGATAACAGTCAAGTGCCTTAGGCATTATATTACCAGAGCTCCCTTACAGAGGGAAATGAATTGAACTTCTCTTCATTTTGCCCGCAAAGGTCACAAATACTTATTTGGCCCTAAACTTAAGAATAACAATAGTCCTTTCCCATCCTGACCTAGTGACCTTTGACCTATCGTTTAACTTCTGTGCAAATAGAGCCTGCCAGCTTAATGGAGATGTTTTGAAAATGTTGAGTGTTTGAGGTAGAACAAATTTAGAGCAAAAGAAATCAAGATGTTTAACCTTTATGACTCTCTGTGAGCTCGGTTCCTGTTGGGAGCAAATTACGTACTTTGGGAATCTTCCCAAATTGTTTTAGGCTCCATGGCTCCTTTATTGTGCTGAAGAAAAAATTTACTACTGGTTCCCCAGGACATTTATATGTTGGTGTGAGTTTGTTAAGAAGACTTAGCAGTCCATGACTACTGTGACTAATTTTCACTCTTCATTTACAGATAAGAAAACTGAGGTGCATGGGGTGGTTATTTAATTAATCCTAATCTCTAAAATAAGGAGCTCTGATAGTGCAGGGTTTAAGGCGTTTGGCTGCTAACCAGAAGGTCAGTGGTTCAAACCCACCAGCTGCTCTATGGGAGGAGGATGAGGCAATCTACTTCCGTAAAGATTTACAGCCTTTGAAACCCAATGGGGGTAGCTATGAGTTGGAGTCAACTCTATGACAGTGAGGTGTTTTGTTTGCTTGTTTTGTTTTAAATCTCTAAAATGCACCTGACCGAAGCCATGGTATATTCAGTCACCTCACACTCATGTGAAAGCTGGACAATGAGTAAGGAAGACCAAAGAAGAATTGAAGCCTTTGAATTAGGGTGTTGATGAGGTACCATGGACTGCCAGAAGAACAAACAAATCTCTCTTGGAAGAAGTACTGCCAGAATGCAAGGATAGTGAGAGTTCCCCTTTCTGATCTTGGTCATGTTGTCAGGAGGAACCAGTCACTAGAGAAGGATATCATGTTTGTCAGGGAGTCAGTGAAAAAGACGAAGACACGGTGGCTGTAACAATGGACTCAAGCTTGGCAACAACTGTGAGGATGGTGCAGGACCAGGCAGCGTTTCCTTCTGTTACACATAAGGTTGCTGTGAGTGAGAATCAACTCGACAGCACCTAACACCAATCTCACAGATGTCCATTTTCACCCTAAGGTTTCATATCCATGGAGAAAGAAAAGGCATTTTTCAAGGTGAAAGTCCATTTGCCTTGTCGGGCAATTTCACAAGTTGATTTCAAGCCCAGAGCAGTGCTCAGCCTCCTGTGCCCTTGTGTACATGCAGCCTGATGGCCTGTGTAAATTGAATGTTCTCTGTTGGCTCCAGTTGTTGTTAGGTGCAGTCAGGTCATTCTGACTCTTAGCTCCCCAGTGTACAGCAGAATAAAATGCTGCCTCATCTGCACCAGCCTTACAATTATTGTTGCTGTGCATGATCCCATCATCTTGAATCTATCCTAATTATCATTGATCACAGCAGTTCCTGAATGGTGGAAATAGTTATGTGCTCAGCTAATAACTGAAAGGCAGAAAGGCCTGGCAGCCTTCCAAAAGATCACAGCCATTGAAAACCCTGTGGAGCACAGCCCTACCGTAACACATATGGCGTCACCATGAGCTGGGATCAACTCGATGGCAACTCTTGGTGGTCATTGATCACAGTCTCTGGACAATAAAAGTGGTGCATCTCATTTTTCCTGGGGGAAATTAGATAGCTGGGAAACATCCAAGTGAGAAATACTTGAAAGCAAGAATGATACAAGACATCACACCCTGCTTCAAAGGCATTCTTAGAACTATCAGGCTTTACCATAAACCCAGGCAAGGAAGTAGAACTTTGTATAATACAAGTAATAGACCACTGTCATGAGACAGTGGTTTATTAAAAATACAGTATATCATGGCAAAGTAGACGGGGTCCTGTTTTGATCTGAGAAGATATATAAATATGGCTTACGAGCAGCAAAGCTAGAACTAGACCCAGCTCTCCAGTCCCTGTTCACTACCCTTTCCATTACATCAAGGGAAAGTCCCCAATGGGGAGCATCAGGGAAATAGATTTAAAATAATCCTGAATCCTTATAAGTGTGAGTGATGTCTTTGTTTCTGGTAAGAGTTTTTGGTTTCTCCAGTTCCCAGTACAGTTGTGAAGGTTTGTCTGCATGTGTCGGCTGACAGACTGGAGGACCTCCCTCCCTGGGAACCATTAAAATCATAGGCAAAGTCTGTCTTGGGAGTTAGAGAAATTGTCTTCAAAGCAGGAGCTTAGAAAACGTAGTATTGACTTAAAAGGCAATGAACTGTTCAGACACTCATAAGCTCTCCTAATCTGTTATCACCATTATCGTCCATAGTTTCCACTTATTTTTTTCTAATTGTGCTTGCTGGAATAGAGGGTTTTCTTTTTTTTCTTTTTCAGGTTGTGATTTCTCGATCAGCATTGACAACCCCTCATGTGAACTTTCGCCTGGACTCCCATGCTGTGTCCCCAGAGGTTATTGTGAAGCTCCCAGTAAACCAAGATGGCTACACTCTGGTTATCACCGGGAAGAAGGTAAGCCCTATTCCCACAGGGAGCTTCCATTGATATTTACAACCCATGTCCTTTGGTCCTTTATCACTTCTCTCTTCATCTTGGATCTACCTCTTCTCAGTAAACTTCTTTCTTAAGTATTCCAGAGATCTTTTGAAATCAAAGTTTTATTTAAAGAGTAAGGGACCTAGAGTTCCAGCAAGATGGCAGACTAGGCAGAGACACTGCACAGACCCTCTTCAACAAAGAAAAGGGAAACCAATTAACACAGACACAGAAGATAATCCTGGACCCCTGAGCCTTGAACAGAAGGATATAGAAGTGGACTAAACCCTAACTAGCAGAAGAATTTGCATGAAAATACCAAAAAAGACATACGGAGCTGTGGTCTGGCAGCGATACTGATGGCACAGACAGCTTGGAGATTCCTGAGTGCTGGTAGGACTTAAGAATTAACCTAAAAATCAGCCCTGCTAGCCAGGGACTGCACAGAGGACTGCTTCAGTGGCTAGGGAATAAACAGAGAAGGTGAAGAGAAAGGCGGGCTGAGCTGTGGACTGTTGCCTGACCAGAGGGTGCCGCCATTTTAAAGGCTTAAAAGTGGCTTGACTATTTTGGATATTTAAAGAGACAGTGCTCTCGCAGATTCCTGGGGCTTAAGAACACGTTCTACTTTCCCAACCCCAAGGACCCTCTGGACCTGCAAGACTGAAAAGTTTTTTGATGGTTATTCAGTTGTAATTTGTGTCTAACTGAGTGGGAGATAACAACAGTCCCCATAAGACACAACTACACCCACACCTCCTGAAACTTCACTTATGGAGCTACCTCCTTCTCCACCAATGGGCCAACAATAAAAAACTACCAAGAAGAGTCTAAACTACCCTTGACTGCTCTTCACAAACAATTAACAGACATCTAAATACAACAATGCCACAATGCCTCAGAGACAACAGACCACCGCAGTCTACACAAAGAAGCAGGATAAAGTGGTAGAAACAAGGGAGCAGGATACAGACCCAGAACACATCCCTGAGGAAGAAGCAG